GTGTCTTGTTTTTCTTCTTATAAAAAATCTCTCTAAAATGTTGAGGGGCCAAACAAGACTTTTGGAAAGCAAAATGTCCCAACATCCCTTACGTCACGCGTTTTCACTTGGACCCCCTCTCTCCCTCCGAACGAAAATCTTGGGACCGCCACTGGTGGCCTCCAGACTTCTAGCTGTGGTTCTTTGCAGGTGCTGCCGCTCATTCAGCGAAAATTTTTGCACTCACCGATAATAGCACAGCTTCAAAGTTTTCTCAGAAGAGCATTGAATTGTTTTTAAAGGCGGTAATATACTAATTCTCAGTGAACAAAGAGTTTAGAATAAAAGACGAATTTATGTTATCAAAATCAAGTAAATAGAAAGGACAAAATCTCAAATTAAGAGACTACAAATCATCGGTGCCGCCTTTCAAATTTCCGGTATAAATGTGATGTTGCTTTGGAAGCTCTTATAAATTCCTTGAAAATCATTTCTGGGCAGAGAGGAGCACATATTCTGAATCAGCGTTCTTCAATCTATCTAAAACCTTATTTTATTTTCGGAAACTCAAATTTTCCATTTTACTGGTGACGTCACGTCACGGTAAACGTCCACGCTCCTGGGATTTTCAGCTCATAAGTCGCTGTATAGCCAGCAAACATTGAGATTCGCTGGCACAAATCATCAAATACATTGGAGAAATTTGAAATCCTTGTTTTCCACAAAGTTTTGGAGACCTAGAAGTTTTTAATTTTAAACAAAAAATTTTTGTCAGAGCGCAAAGTTCAAAATTCGAAAGTGCGTAATTTCAAAAACTCAAACTCGTATTCATAGGCGAACTATAACTCTATACTGGCAAATAGTACATTGGATTCTCCATATGAATGATTGGGGATTACTCTCTGTACGGGTTTGTCACGCGATATATATGAGCCTGAATCAGGGTGCTCATGCTCTGATTGCATGTTGGGACTACTTTCAAGAAACCGTATCGTAAGGATGGACACTTTGACGTGCCAGAATTTTTGCATGGTGATAAAATGGGCTTCGGTAATTGAGACCTGGATGTGTCTGAGTGCTCTCAGAGAAACTAACTGCATTGAGATGAACGAATCTGCAAAACGATTACACTTGATTTCCACCATTTTGTGGGATCTCACCCATCATAATTTTTACATCCACCAAGTGAGCTTGGGTGCACCTGCACCCAGCTGTAGCACTGTCATTTTCGCATCTCGATGCAAAGGTGCGAAGCCCTTATGAACCTAGATCGTCGGTCGATTTCATGGGATAACTCATCACTATTAGTTGTTAAAACATGATAACTGACACAATTCTTATATTTGATTTTTCAAGCTGTCCAATCACCCGATGGCTCTATTCATCATTTGATTGAGTCGAGAGGGTGAACCAATAGAGAAAAGAAAAAAAATTTATTGTATCACCCAAATTTTGGTAAATTTCGGATTTTGTCTGCATATTCTAGCAAAAAAATTCACTTAAACTTGTGTAGAAACAGTTTGCCGTTTCACAACAGTTACTAAATAAGGTTATTCGATTGTTTACCATGTGAAGGAAGAATTCATAAGGAATTAGGAAGTTCTGATATAAGCCAAATGGGATTCCTCTCTATGTGACCTAGCATTATGATAGAAAACGTAGGACTTCTTTCTGGGCTATAGTTCTTTATTTTTTTTCCAAATAGCCTCCGATTATTTTTTTGCTTTCTACTCCTTTCACTTTCCTTTAAAATTCTGAAAGTACTTCCGATATGTTAATTTCGAAAGCTTCTATAATTTTCCGTAGATAAGCGCATTTTTAGTCTGCTGAGCATTTACGTCTTCTTAGATAGTTTGCCACGATTGCCTTCTCGCAGCTAATCAATTCGAGACCTTCACTGAGTTCACGATACGAGCTCATTGAGCAGAAGCAAAGTGCATTGCAAAGTTGTTCAAAAGTTTTCAAGACCTGCATTCTCATCACTTTTACCATACCTACGTCATACACTGGACATATTATCTCTTTTCCGGCATGAATGAAACCATTTTTGAGAGAAATGCGAGTTTATAGCACAATAATTTGAAAGGTATATTTTTTGTTCAATCCCCACATTTCAATTTCATCACTAATATCCCAAACAAAAAACAGTGGATTGTTCTAAATATTGCAATTCCTTTGCAATAAAGAAGATGCTGATAGATGGAGAGACCTTCAAAATTTCCAGGTTTAGGAGGCTAATGCACTTTGCTGTTTTGAAGGCTTAAACACCCTATCTTAGAGCAAGGCGAAATCAGAACGCAGTTATTGAATACTGAAATAATATTAAATAAATAAATAATATTAAATAATATACTTCCATTTTGTTGAGGAAATCTTTTCTTAGGTCATCACGGGCTAAGGTGCCTTTAGTGGTACTACGGGCCATTGTGTCGGTTGTTTTTGGATGGATTTCATGCGGATAATTTTCTAGATACTCAATCCCTTCACTTTCAAAAATTTTCGAAGAATGAAACATTTTCAAATAAAAAATTCAACCCAAAGAATACAGATTTTATGCTCTGGTATATAAACCTACACAATTACATAAAAAGGAATCAGCTGCCAACAGCAATTTACGTGATGTTTGTGTAAGTTTCAAGTTGTAAACATTGGACATTTTGAGTTTCAGCCAGGAATGAGAGAAAAAATAGATTTTTTTTGCTTTTTTGATGATAAGCAAAGAAACATATTCTAATCTTGATAAGTGTCATTGAAAAGGAAAGATGGTGGCTTTTAACGTTTTGTAACAGAGATAGATCAAGCGGAAAATCGTAAAATTTGATTTCGGGGATGTAACTGAGCTTTGAGGTAAAATAGTATTTTCTGATTTTGTTACGGAATGTTGAAATGGAAAAACAGTGTTTTCTGGGTCTCCGGTTTTGAGCGAATTGGCAATTTTTGATTCCGTGATTGTCAGTGGAAGAACTGGGAGGAAAATTGGCAAATTCTGTCATTGCTTGTGCTAATAGCAGTGCTCAGCGAACGCTTACCATGTCGTGCTTTAACCTCCCCGTTTACTTTGTTACCTTGCTGTTTTGCAAGGGTAGACGGTTTCAATTCAATGCTTCTTCCAAAATACTATGGAAACATTCACCACTTTCAAAAGGCGAAGAGACTGGCTATAGCGAGGGTCAAAACTTGTCGCAAAGGATCATAACATCTCACTGTAACTAGGTACTTCGTTATGAAAATGGGATTTAGTTGTCTGAAGTGATGACTTTTTTGAGTTCACATCTCAAGTTCATTCTCATTGTTCAGCGTTTGCATCCTCTCACGACATTCAGATTCGATAAGTTTGAGTTATACATAGTGTCCAAAGTATGTACACATTGTTTTATCGTTGATACCTCTCTTCTGAACTCTTTTGTTTATCTTCAAGCACAATTTTGTAGAGATGGATTTAATTAGATTTACAGTGCCAAGTGCTCTTCGATATTGTAGCATTATGGGATGAACTCCCAGCAAATGGCGTCACTGTAAGATAGGCCATTTGTAAAAAAAATTCTAGAAAAGTCTGCAATATTATGTAATAGATCATGCGCGCTGGTTTCACTACACTACAGTTTACGAGTTTTTAACCAACTTTGGTAACCAACTTTCTAAGGAACATTGAAAAAAAGCTGTCCGGAAAAAAATTGGTAGTGCACGTTCTCTGCTTATTTTAACATGTTATGTGCCTCAACATGCGAAGACTGGAGTTCGCGCGCGTCAAACCGCGCCGTCGCTAATTGCCGCACGCGCGACGTCGCTCAAACGAGCTATTTGTAACGGCATAAATGACTAGTTTTCAATGTACGCGTCACGGTATGACACCAGATTTTGTAGGCGAACGGAGAAAGGCTAGTGGAAACAAAGTATGAAAAATTATGAAAAACTTATGTGAACGGGACGAGTAATAAGCATTTTTTCCAAAGATTTTGCAAAATTGGTAAATGAAGTTGTAAATTCAAATGGCTCGTTTGCAACGCGCAGATGACGATATGGTATGAAACTTGGCAAGCACGTGGACACAAGCCTGTAGGAGCTAACTTAGGAGTTTCATTGAAAAATTATGTGACTGAAGCTTGTGGCAAAGTTTTTTCTGAAAATTTCCCGCTACCAAAGAAATGGAAAAATGGCTCGTTTGCAACGCAGAGGCGACGAAATCGCGCGGGATTCGGTGTGTATATGCGCAGTAGGACTAAGTAACAAAGTGTGAAAAATTATGAAAAACTTATGTGAATGAAGAGTTTCCCCAACTTATTTCTAAATTAGCTTGTCATTTGACAAGCTAATGACAAGCTGAGCTTGGCAAAACTCTCAATTCACATAATTTTTTCAAAATTTTTACATAAATCTACTCTACGCCTAAAGATTAGTATATACTGAGAATTTGGTTTCAAACCTCTTCCTCTCTCCATTGCTAGAGGCAAAAATAGCCTCAGCGGCCCCGTTTCCTAAGGAGGAAAGCGCGCTCCAATCGATCGGCGTCGCTGAGTCCTATAATCAACATTGCTTTGATTTTTTCGTTCCCCTCGCCTCACTCATTCGTTTTTGCCATTTTCGCACTTCTAATACTTATCTTCGCGCATATTTCTTGTATTAGGGTGACATGAATGAAAAAGCAAGCTGTTGGGGTGCCAAGACTGTCGAAGGATCCGGTCAGTTAGACAAATCGCAGCGGATTAGGACGAAAACGTTAACCATCCGAAACATGTAAGCCAGAAAATATGTTACTTATCTTCGGTGTGTGTTTCCAAGCTTTTCTGAACATATGGATCGCTTCGCATATGTATCTACTTAACAGTCATGATCAGAATATTTTTTCGCTACTTCATCCGGTGTTTTCTTCGCCAAATAATGACATAAACCCCTTTTTAGTTATTTGCAGCCAATCGTTTTTTGCCACGAGATTTCCGTCGAAAGTTGTCTGGAAGCCTTTTCTGTTCGTTCACCGTTCGGCTCGCCGTACGCGAATCTTCATCAGAGGTCGTTGCTTGGTTATGCAACTACATCTTGAAAAACTCTTATCTATGAGGTCAGTTGATATGTCAGTTGTCCGCTCAAGGGCACGTAATTTTCATGGTTTCAAATCTTTTTTCTCTATGTTTCACAAATCTTCTGCTACAAGTGTTTGCATTCTACCGCTTTGTCATTTTGGCTGCGCTCATACTAATCCGGAAGTTCGGGAACAGTTCCAGCACAGCGCTAAAACCTGTGCTGGAACTGTTTCCGAACTTCCGGATCAGTATGAAAGCCGCCTTTGCCGCGTCTTGAACGTTTTGCACAAACGTCGGCGTCGGTAGAATGAGGTGTGTTGTACAGATTTGTACAGGCAGACACATTTGATGGACACTCGAAGTCTCTCGCAAACGCTTTTCATCTGTCCAGCACTTTGCTGTCTTTCTAAACATGCGCACTGTTAATCAGACGCGACGTGTCCGTTTTTGCGAGCGATTAATTGCAAGTACTTTGTATGGAAAATTGCGATTTCCATAATTCTTCCTTTTGTACTCGTTTTTTATTGAGCCTGGAATTATGGAATAACATCTCTAGCCTGCAAATATAGAGATACTGCGTTTTTAGAGAGTGGGCAAGCCGGGTGGGGTAACTTTTAGTTGGATTTTAGCTCATCTAAGCACTGTACACCATGCTCATCGTTGCGAACCGATGCTAATCTATCTTGGTTATTACCCATGATGGCCAGCATAGAATTCAAGCTCATCAAGTCATTTTTCAGCAGCTATTTCCTGAGGTGAGACATAAAAAGCGCAAATTACAGTTAATCGCAATGTCATCATGTGAACTTTGCAGATTGTTGGTCCAATCTTCTCTCATCACATCATTGTCTTCCCTCTTGTTTGATACAAAACATATGAGGTATGCCACTTTCACTAATCTTAATGTTCACTTCTCAGTCGTTTTTGATTCATCTGTCTATACAGTTTCTGCCATCAGAATTTTTCCCCAAATCTCTTTTCGACACTTTTTAGCTCGCTGCGAAGCTTTCCAACTCATCGGCTTCAATTCCCCAACCTACTTCTGCTTGTACGCATCATTCTATGCCTCATGTCCTAATATATCAACCGCAGGTAAGCGTCCATTTTCTAGACTGTTTCCCTTTAATTTGGCTTCTAATTAGTATCTTTAGTTTAAATACCGAAGTTCTGTTCAAATCTTCTTTGCTTCCCCATCAATTCATGTGCTATCTACGTGATGATGTACTTCCATTGCTGAATAATCGAAATTTTGCGGTCTCGTCGCACATGCCGGTGAGTTCTTTTAGCGTTTTCCTAATTTCATTCTGGTTTCTGATTTTGCATTAGAAGGAAGAAGTGCATCAAAAGGGACCATAAGTTTGCATTAGTTTCACTCTCACTTCTTCTTTTTTTGAGTTCGTCTTTTGCTCTTGAAACATCTTCCGTCAGTCTCTGTTAGCGAGCGTGATTGCTTGCTTTTTGGGGTCCGTATCACGAAACCCTGTCTGCACGGGGAGCAGCTCTAAAATCGGCGCTGTCATTTCCATTAAAGCGGTCGACTAGCTCCAATTTGCGCGATTTAGGAAATGTAAAGTCATCTTAAACTGTTCTCGGTCTTGAAGCTTAGCACAGTTTTTGATTTACAAGTTCGATCTCATAGTGATTTTGACATGTATGGGCTATTCCTGCACGAAAGCGGTTGAGATGCAAATGATAGCAGGCAGTGAGCGCGTGCGACGCGTTCGCATGCAAGAATTTCACATGTGCATTCGCCTTTGTCCACGGTTAGCTTTAATTATGGTGAAATAGTGAGCATGAAAATCCAAGCTATTCTATGAGAGGGCTGCTAAAGTACGTCTTGAAGACTCGTTTGTGCTTTTGATAAATAACAAAATTTTCGGGGAAACAGGATGCCAGTGGAGGAAAAAAGCTTGAACAGAGAGGAGGACATGTAGAAAGAGGAGGAGACAACGGTGAAATCAAAAGCGGTGAGCCTTTTTTTGCTGTTTTCAAACGATATCTCAACATCAGTGTGGTGAGTTTCAATTCAGGCAACTAAGTGGCAACGAGGAAGCTAACTAGCAGAGAAGAAGTATAGGCTTGCCATTTATCTGGTTGACAAGGTTTTTTATGCTCAAATTTTGATTGAACGTTGAAAACAAGTAATTTTTTGAATCGAAATTAGTTAAATAAAAGTACATATGTTCAGTTTGTTTTGAATCCTGTTCTTCTTATGTATCATTTTCGCAACAACTTTGATAGTCGAATGCAATCTTCAATCTTGCAGCCTGTTCGCGGAAGCCCGGGACTGTTTCTGACATCGTCACTGCTTCGGCGGCTTGGATCCTCGAGCTTTTTCGCTCGCCTTGGGCCGCGTTCGCAAAAATTTATATGGCACGAATGGACGCGCCCAAGGCGAGCGAGACGCTTGAGGATTTAAATCGCTGAAGCAATGACAACGTCATCTGAACAGCTTTTGGTAATTGTGCTAGTACACCAACCTTATCCTGTACAAATTTCGTCCTCTAGAGGACGGTTAAAGGCAAAGGTTACTATAATAGGTTTACGCTATGGGGCTCTTGAGATTCGGTAGAACTTTTTCACTTCAAGCAAGCGCAATAGTCGCTCCGTATTGCGCGCAATAGTTCGCTATACATTGTGACAACAGTGTTTCGTATCGTCAAGGAACTTGTGCTTGCATCTCCTCACCTTCGTTAAAGACTGAAATCAAAATTGAAACTTGTAAAAATTTCTTTGATGGTTCTGTCCATCTGCTCCCTACCACATACATTCTGTCATGGAGCACAAACACAGGATCAGTTTTTGGGTCAAAGGGGAATTCGTAAAAAATTTTGGAGTCAAAGGGGAATTCTTTTTCGAAAACCCCTTTTGACAAGCTCGTGCCGGGCCCTGCACTGAAAGCGTTCGGTAATTTCCTCTATACCACGAATCTAATTTGACGCCAGTTCCCAACGGTACTTGAAGATAGGTGAAAGGCTTCTCGGGAAGAGAGATTAACTATCAAACATTGTATACATACTTTTGGGACATAATTATGCTATCCTCGAATAAAAAAAACCAAACAATTCAGTTGAACGAGCGAAGAACCAGCTCTTAGGAGCAGATTTCAGGAGAAGAGCGAAATTACGTAAGCATAATTTTCGCAAATTTCTGGAGCACCACTGTGACTGACAAAGTGGAAATTTAAATCGTTCAGTTGAGATAAGAAAAAGATATCTAACAAGTAATGAAAAAACCCCTCAAAACTAATGGCATATTTGGATAGAGCGCCTCACAAAACCCCTAAATCTGTATTTCTATCGAGTTTGAGCAAACATTCCTGCCGAACACCAGTTTTGTGATTCTATTGAATTCCCAGTTTCATGATTGATGGATGCATCGCGAAAGCGTCGATGGATGGGGGCGGTGTTTGTATATATATAGACTAGGCTCTGTACAATATACTATTCGCCGTTATTCTCATGACTCCATTCCATTTGCCGCAAGTCTTTGAGTAGATAAGCTCCCTCACCCCGAATGACCTATGACCCATGAGATCAAATGCACACACATGTTACCTATTCATATTGGCGTTACATTATTTTCATTACATTGAACGGCGTCATACAATGATCAGGTAACAACGTAAGCTCAATAACCGCACGTGATCTTTGTTATATTCCAAAGTTTGAATACAGGATAAGAATCACTTCCTGTACAATAATCGAAACTGGCAATATCAATAGAGTGACCGATATCAATAATGTGCAAACTTGATTATGTTGAACACAAAACCTCATTTTCTCTAAAAAACGATGCTGGGTTGTTTATTATGCCGTGAGCGCACCTGAACAAGCGCCTGGCATATTCGTAAGTTGGTCATTCGCTTTAGAAGCATGAGGTGAAAGTTCAGAGAGAAGGCGATCAAAAATTGCACTTTTACTTGAAAACTGCATTTAAAGAGAAAAGATGCGAAATATGCTATGATCATTCTTTAGATGCGGAAAAAACTGCAAATGAAGGACAAATCTGTGAAAAGGGAAAACATAACCATTTATATCAATGAAAGCTTTAAATTTGAATTGTGCGCCCTAGCACAGCTATGTGAAATGTTACCTTCAATTCTGATTCGGTGCGCTTCAACGTATATATACAAGGTCGAGATAACACAATGCTCGACAGAGCAAAACACGCTCTACAAGACCTCATGTCAACATTGCAAAATTCAGTACGTAAAATTTGGAAGCAGACGTTTTACCACTTGTACCGCTGAGTAAGATTTGTTCTTCAAAGTAGTGCTAGCACTCATTATTACCAGATACTACCCGTACCCACAAATGCACTCTCAAGTAAGCTTTCAAGGTAAATTGTACTCTGAGAAAGTTTAGTGTTGAAGTATTATGAGGTAAATTCTAACCTAGGTCATACGTTTGTGCAAACAGTGAGCGTGTTTTACTCTGCCACGGCAGAAGAAGATATAAAAATGCCTGGGACATATCATTCGATAAAGCAGAGCAAGGTCTACAAGATCACATTCAAACAATTGTAGAAATAAGTTCTCCGTGAGTTTGGATGAAAAATCCAAAATTTTTTTCCTCTATTGAATGATATGCGCCATGAATTTTTCTTCTTCTCTGCCGCGGCAGGATAAGGAACGCTTATTACTTCTGCACCAAGCTGATATACAGGGTGTCTCAAAAAGATGCAGTTTATTTAAGAAAGGTATGTCAAAATCAGTGACCTAGTGATGTTAGAAGGCTAGATGATCCAAAATAGGCCAAATATTACTGGTAGATCACTGATTTGAGTTGAAATTATGCCAAATGCGCTGCTGTAAAAAGGCACAGCTCAGGTCATTCTAACCTAAACAGCTTTCAACAAAAAACGCAGGCACAAGCTTGCGTTTAAACTCAAAACTCGTTGCCTGTGCCCTACCAGTATTGCTACTAAAAATCAACACGAATCCCGCGGGCAACTCGACGTAAACGAACAAGAAGTTACTCGGTAATCACATTCTGTTACGTTTCTCAATATTACAAGAAATCATCAAGAGCAGGATCTAGGAACCAAACAAAAAATACACTTCAATCGTTGCGGGTAAGAAAAAAGCCAAAATTGGCAAAAAACCGAAATGACTTCTCTTTTAGTTTTTCAAGAAAGATCTCTCTCAGCTGAGCAGTTGCATACCTATAGTTAACACTGTGACAATGCTAACCATGGTGCAGATTTTCGGATATCTTGCAATTTTGTGCACCGGTTTGAAAAAAATTTTCACATACGTAACCGAAGCTTTAATAAATGTATTGTATAATTTTATAAATATATTAGGTCGTTCCGAAAGTGATGTCGCTTTATTCAAATGAACGCCACATTTTATGGAATCAAGATTTTCCAGAGATCTTAGAAGCATTCGATGCAGCACTTCATCCTCTTTGTAATGGTTGTTATTTTATTGCATAATTTTCATTGAGTTTCGAAAATTAACAAAATCTGCAACTCATGCTTTTTGCCATAGTCAGGTTCGGCTATTTTTCTAAATTTTTGTACCTAATCTCCGAAAAAGCACAAGTGGCAGGTAGATAGAGCAAACCCTATAGGACACAGAGTAATTTTTTTTCTTTTCGTTAGCTTGCTTCTTGTTTCTGGAATCAGTTTTAAAATGCCATCAAATTCCATGTTTGGTCAACTCAAACCTCACAAAACAACAACCGGCAAGCAACTCAGGTGTCATTCGACGCAGCTTTTTCTCCTCTTTTTACCAGTTCTCTTTAGTTTCCGATTCATCAAGTTTTCCGAGATAAAACCATCATAATTCAGGTTTTCCAGGGCGCCTCCGGCTGTACCCGGAATTTTCGAAAGTTGCTAATTTGAAGCGGTAAACGCTCATTTCCTTTGTAAAATTAGTGTGAAACCATATTCCATCTTTGTAAGTTTCAAATCCGATTTACTGGTTTTGATGCATTTGTGTCTGGGACGAGCCTGTTAAAATTCGGTGGTTCTATCAAAAAATCTGTACAAAAATTATGACGAGCTCTGGAAAGTAGGAAAAAGCTGTGCTGTTTCCTGTAGGGTTGCTCTATCCATTCATTACTTGGACTCCTTCCGAGGGTTGTTATAAAAGTTTTGAAAAATTTTGAAACTTGGCCTTCTCAAAAAGCATGGATCGCAAATTTTGATAATTTTTCGAGAGGTTGTTGGATTTTGTGCAGTGATTATATAAACTTAGAAAGAGAATGAAATGCTGCATCATATGCTTCCAGAATCTCGTACACATCTTTGTTCCACGAGGTGTGGTGTACATTTGAAAAAAGCGACATTACTTTCGGAACGACCTAATAAATAATTTGAAAAATAACCTATAAATTTTAAGTTGAGGCTGAGTTGCTGCACATAACAGCATAACTCATTAGCGGTTAGGGGGAGGAGGGGGGGAGGAGGAAGGTAAAAGAACTTGCACTCATGGAAAGGAGAGCCGAGAGCTCCATTGCAACATTACGCTTCCACATTCCTCTAGTATGTAGTCATTTTGAAAGTGAAGCAAGTTGGTGGTAATCCCACAAGCACTAAATAATTCATTTCTTACTACAATTCTGTCAAAAGACATCTCGAAACTGTGCTAATGACAACCTAGTGAATCTCAGTGAAGAGAAACTCACGTTCTGTGTTCAGATAACATGCCAAAACCACTTTCAGCGACATGTAAACTTCAAAATTTTAAGATTTTTTTTTATTAAGTCGCTGATTTCCGCCAGACTGAACGCATAAACTTGACTACAGTTTGAAATACAAATCGTAATCCATATCCCCTGCGTAGGGGATATGTGGGCTCTCTGGCTGTGGGCCAGGTGGATACTGTGGAACGGTGTGGGTAGAGGGATTCACTCGTCTAAATTTTGCAGACTATTCTTCACACCACATCCTTCTCCTTAACATGTTGACGACGGTGTCGCGCAATGGTGCGCGACAGGCAGTCCGTCCCTGTGGACGATGTCGCGCAATGGTGCGCGACACCCTAAACATCAGTTTTAATGTGCACAATGGTTCCAATTTGTGTTCATA